AGCAGGAATTGGAGTTCAGGAGGAGCATGCCAGGAATGTCTGTCATTGGTGGTTGTGTGAAATACCCACTGAGTAAACTGATGGTAACTTGCCCTACTCTGAGGGTCCTGTATGTGCCAAGTTTGACACAGGTTGGGAATGCTTCCCATAGTCAGCAATCTTCAGTGCCTCAGCCTGAATACAGAACCACAGAATAGTTAAGGTTGGAACGGACCTTAAAACCCATCCGGTTTCAACCCCCTGCCATGGGTAGGGACACTTTCCACTAGCCCAGGTTCCTCTGAGCCCTGTCCAGCCTGGCCTTGAACAGCTCCAGAGATGAGTCAGCCACAGCTTCTTTGAGTTGTACCCATGGAAATCCTTGTGGTGACATCTCAGTGTTCTTACAGCCATGGTTCATGTGAGTGTGGCAGAACAGGCAGAGGTCAAGGAAAAATAGTGATTATTCACCCACACAGGGTTGAATTCTGTGGTGTAGTCCTGGGCCTCCTCTCTTCTTCAGGTCTGACAAGAGTAGCAAGATTTTTGCAGTGCATTCCTAGTGAGTTTCGCATGGTTTTAATTATGCTGCAAGAGGCTCTACACCTTGCATCTTTCACCTGGTTCAGTCTGCTCCTTCAGCCCATCACAGGGCCTGAAAACTACATAGGTGGCTAAGGCTGTCATATGAGTAAATGTCTGTGGGTCTCATGCTGCAGTGGTAGACACCTTAAATGACATTACCTGAGGTAATACTGTTAGTGTGTTTCAGTAATCCTCTCAAGCCCTGCCATCACCCTGCTCTGCAGGTCTGTGTTGCAGCTGTCATTTTGCAAGCAGAAAGGTTTGTAGACAGAGAGGGTATCTGTCATTACACCTGTGCAGCTTCTCTGCCTGAGAGGTATTGTTTGCTATCAGAAAAGAGAATCTGTCTGCCACATTATTGTTTCAGGATGCCTCTGATCTATGTATAGAATCACAGAATCATAGAACATTCCAAGCAGGATGAACTTCTAATTTTCTCTTTTAATGTGAGGAGACACTTCTGTCCTCTTTTTCTTGCAGGTGAAGAAGCCTAGGGCATTCCAGCAAGATAATCAGAGGTTCAATAGGTTTTGAGCCCATCATCAGTAACAAGCATTTATTTACAGGTACAGAACTTCCTTCTCCTTGTATCTCTTTCCTACCTCAGCAGCTGGTGACAGTTAAGTAACAGCTATATTTGTAGTCTAGAAGATTAAGGATTTTTTTTTTCTGACTTGGAAGGTTTAACTTCCAGTTGGCTGAACAGGTAATTGTGTCACAGTCTTCATGTGATCCACAAGCTCAGTAAGGATCCAGCCTGGCCCAGCAGTCTGTAATGTGAGCCAGCACTCAGCAATGGAGATGTGTGTGGAACCACCCCGTTCATTTGGAGAGGATTGATACAAACTGAAGAGGAGCAAGTGAAGAACATTCACTTAATCATTTGTGCTTTGTTAGGCAGCATGTAGGAGGGTTTTGTGGATGTGCTTCCAGGAGTTGATAAAAGATTATTCAGAGAATAAGTGAGTCAATATTGTCATCCTATACACATCCCCATTTTAGGCTTGTTGAATTGATTCCCCGTTTCAGTAGTGGATGTGAGGTTCAGGTTAAGGGAGATAAAAGGAAGGGTGTAAGGTGACAAATTAGTAGGAATGTTAGAATGGCAAAGGATGGATATTCACAGCCCTCTATGGACCTATGCTCTCAAAAGACTCCAAGAGCTCTGCCCCTGGGTGTTATTTGTTCAAGGATGTGTTCCAGCCTCCAAGTTATTCATGAGCTGACTCTATTGCATGTGTTACCCATTTGGTATCACTGTGGGGCTTTGTGATGAGGCATTTTTAATTGTGTGGCACTTGCTCATAGAGCTGGGTGAGTCAAGATGAAGAAAGAGAAAGAGGGCACATCGACTCAAAAAGATAGTTGGTTCTTTAGAGAAAAGAATAGAAAGAGCTGATGTTATTTTGGGGGAAAATAACGAAGAATTCATTGGA